GCTGACCAAAGATATAATTGTTCACTACTTATTCCTTGTTTTGAAAGTTCATAAAAAGTAAAATTTGGAAAATGATTAATTTTTTCTTGAACATGATATTTGGATGAGAATTCATTCATACAATATGACATTATCTGATGATTCTTAGCATTAATTTTAAGATTAGTATAATTACGACGCCAACTATCAATATCGTCTTCATCAATAAACGTAATAGTACGTAGACAATTATATTGTAATGCATTATTACTTTTATTCTTCAAATCTGTATAATAAAGATTGAATTGTGGTGTAGCATTGATGAAATGCAAAAGAATACAATAGAAGATATATTTCATATGAAACATTTTCAAGTTAGAATAAAGAATTGACTATTCATATCATTCTACTTCGTTATATACTTCTCTCTATCTCTCTCTTTTCAAAATCTATGAAAAAATATGAACAAATTCATTTGTTCCTGTTTTCATATATTATAATTGTTGATTTGTCAGTATTTGATGCATTTCCTTTTTTACAGTTTCAAGTCAATATTCCATGTTGAATATAAATATTATATAGCAAATATATTTTAATAAAAAAAAAAGTCTGTTATTTTATTTTTTGAGTTGTTTATTATTTTAACATCCTTCTAAACTTCTTTATTTCCATTTTCATTTATTCATATAATATCTGTTTTAAATGAATGCACATGATAATGGCTATCATTCAAGTAGTCAATAGAATAAACGAAATGATCAGTAAACTGAACTAAAGGGTAATTATAATACTCGAAATATTATAGGATGATTTTCTTTTTTCCGTTTTGCCTTTTTACTATCTTGTAAAGATAACATATACGATATACATCTATACATTCTTTACTTGTGCCACTTGCTCATCTTGAGATATTTTCATAATGTTCTTTTCTTTCAATGTTGCGCAAGTATTCTTCTAGATCTTGTGGTGCCAGTCTCAGATCGGACTGAATTTGGATCTGAAACTTTTATACCTTGGTGACTATTAGATCACTGTCATCATCACTTGAGGAACGGACAGGATTTTCATCCAGAGTATCAAGACTATGGTTCGGGCGTAGATCTAAAAAAATGCTAGAGAAATCGAGCAAGGATCCAGAAATTTTAGACTCGATTTAGACTATATTCTTTCTGTTTCCCTAATTGATTCACGTATATTAGTGCAATAATTCAATTGTCATCTTATTTTTTATTATCTCTGCTGATAAAATATGTGTTCTGATTGATTAATTCAAATTTTGTTATTGATAGTTATATATAAAAAACTGGTACTTTTATAATTGGTTTTATGATAATATAGCCACAATTATCAGTAATATCTAATACATAGACGAAGCTTGAAAAAAAAAGTAAAATTCAGATAAAATATATGTAAATTAGAATTGATCAAAGTCTATTAGAAATATCACAAAAAAAACGGGAGACCTGCAAAAGAAACTATTTCGTATCTTCTGAAACGAGCTTTTTTGGAATTCGACATTGTGATTGAGAGCTTTCTTCATTCAGTAAATGGAATTTCAATTTCTTTAGAAAATCAACAAAATCAAATTATATTATAATCTGCTCCATATTAATCTACATACAAAAAAACAACGGAGGTAGAAAATTACATATAAGCGGCATGATATTTATCAAAGTATGACAAACACATTTATTTCAAAAGAGGAAATTATAATATTTACATCTGATATATGATTTTTGGAACGAGCTCCGTTGATTAATAAAAAAAGAACAGATGGTAGTTAGAGAGAAAATATCAGGGATAACAAAATCCATTTTTTTTATCTTAGTCATAGTTTTAAATACTTGTATTAAATATTTTTTGTCTGTCAATATTAAGAGATTTTTAGCTATGAAATTACTGAAAAAAAATGATAAGATATGAAATATAAATTTTCGAATAGTTCAAGATAGAAAATCTTCCACTAAAATCACTCATAGTCATAATTAAATATTCAAAATACAACTGAAATATCATCTAGTCAACTGAAGAGATTGTAATATGTGAGATAAACATTTTATTTCCATATATGTATATATGTCAGCGTCCAATCTCGAATTTGCCTAGACCAATGACAGTTTGAATTGCATATTACATTAGAGTAAAACTAAAATATAACATATAAAGTTTTAATTTCAACAAAATAGAATGCCCATTCAAAAGTAAACAACATAAGAAAATTTTCAATGAATTTCACAAAAAAAACAATATGAAAGTGTTTTTGGAATTTGATCATTCCATATTGGTATGATGAGAACCGTTCTTGTAGCATTTCATCGAACAAAAAACATTATTCTTGTTACATACACATTATTTTGTTCTATAGAATGTGCGTGTAAGTGGATGTATTCTTCTCATTCATTACCCACACCCACACCCTCAAGGAAATATGATAAAAATAAAACTGATATTCAATTATAAAAATATAGTTATGTATTTTATCTTACGGTTGCCAATAAATGAGAAATCATCAAGTATATCTCCTTTACATCAGTATACAAAATATTTGTTTCGATCCACTTTTACAGTAATTTATATAACTGTTGTGGAAACTGATTTGATACTTTGAGAGAAAAAGATCAAAAAGCAAAAGTTTTATTTTATCATATTCTTGATTAAGAAAAATGTGAATAAAGATGATTACAAAATACAAGACAAATTAGTTTTTTAAAATTAACATAGTTCTAAGTTGCATTGATAGAGCATAAGACAATCATTTCTTTTTGTTATATTCTTTACTGTTAATAAACTAAAACAATTCAATAGAACTTCATCTTCATTTTGATAATGTGATAATTCACGAACACTTTTCGGTTTGTTTGATTGTGTACAATCAGCAGAAATTTCTAAGAGAACACCTTTTTTACCAGCAAAGGATTCAGCTAGACCTTCATTTAAACTTGTTGACGTAAAAGCTGGAAAAACAATAGTATCATTAATTTTGAACTTTTTTAAAAATTCTTCAAAATTCTTGGTATTGTTCAAATTTAAACCTCGATATAATTTGACATTTTTTGTATTTGGTACAGCCTTTGATGTATCCGAATAGATCATTAAAGAATATCTTAATGCTTTAATATAATCTTGAATTAATAAAATTAATTCTTGATCTAATAAACTGAGAATATCATTAATTATTTGGTAATAAAAAGGTCTTCCACTTGTATAAAGACGTATAATATTCTTTTCTGGTCCAGATTTTTTTAAAGCCTCGATAAACTTCTGTGCGCATAAATATAAATTGTCAATTTGAAAATAATAAGGAAAATTGTCTGAAAAAATGTTCTTTGATTCCAATGATTTGTGTAATTGTCTCATTCGATTTTGATGATAATCGATATTTAAATCGATCTCTGAAAAATTTGTTATTATAAAATGATTTCGTTTTGTTGATAGAAAATAATTCGAATTTTTTAATTTTAAATTAATATCTTCAAATGAAAATCCAAACTTTAAAAAATAAATTTCTCCATTTTCAATATCTCGAATTTTTTGAATAACTTCATTGAACGAATTTGCAACAAGTAAAACTTTTTTACAATTGTCTGCCCACTCTTGATGATGTGCAACTGCTGAACAGTAAATAATAATACCTTTTATATGAGAATAATATCCAATTTGAGAAATAATATCTTTTCCAGATGAACCTGATGTTATTAAAATTAGATGATCTAAAGGATTAGATCGAATAAATTCAAGTAATTGAGTTTTTTCATTAAATTGTTTAGTTTGATAATTTTCTGTTGAAAATAGTTTTCTTAATCCTTCAAAACAATTTTGATTTGAATCATTTTTTATTTGTTGATCATACCAAATAATATTGACAGCTGATGTTTGTCCATTAATCATATTATGATGTAACTGCTTCTCAAAACTTTGATAATAGTGATTCAAATTTTGTATTTGCTCGCTTCTATTATTCTTAATCGTTCCAATCTGTTGTCTTAATTTCTCATCTAATTCACTTAATTTTTGATGAAACATGATTTCACTTACTGTAGTAGTGACCATAGCTCCCAATCCCAGTGTAGCAATAGTAATTATTGATCCACCAGTAAAAAGAAGCAAAATTGCAGCGATCATACCCATAAAGCCAAAACTTGAAAAAATTGACATTAAGAAAACATCATTAGAGATATTTCCAGTTAGAAAATCAAGTTTCTTGAATAATTCATTTAAATGTTGTCTGATTTCTTGTGCATTGATTGTTGTTGTTGATTCAAGTTGATTAAGTAAATTGAAAAAAATTTCTTTTGCATACTTTTTTTGTTCTTCAATTTCGTTTAAAATCTGTCTAATATTTTGATCAAATTGTACTTGAATATCAGTTATTGTTGATTTGAGATTACGAATTTGATAGATATTTGAATGATACCATAAATGTCGTAATTTCAAATTATTTATTTCGTTAAGAGTTTTATATAAACCTTCGATCGATTTATCAAACAAACGTCCCACTAAATTTTCAAATATTCTGTGTTGTTCTTTGGATAATTCCAATAATTTATCGTAAGTCTAAAAGTAATAACAAGATAATATTAACATCTTTAAAGGAAGTTTTAAAAAAACAAATCTTTCTCATTTTGTATTAGAAAATGATTTGAGCACATTAACGACGAATCAAAATCGTATTTTTAAAGCTATTCACTGCAATCTCAACATTCAATTCACATGTATTCACTTTCAAAGAGATCAAGAAAATGAAATTTATTTCAAACTTCATTATAGATTCTTTATTTTCTAAGTGCTGTTTTAAAAAGATCAGTTAATAATCGACTTACATCCATATAGTGAAAAATGTTTTGTACAATTCTAAGATGAACAGAATTTGTATTGATTCGTTATTCTTAATAATTATCTAGAAATAATCAATAAATATTTAAGATAAGATGTACTTTATTATTTAATAAAAGTTTTTGATGATGTTTTATTCTTAGAAAATAAGTAATACATAACTATTTTGGTTAACAGATAATAAATATTAATCATTTTTTTCTCGATTTCGTGATGAATATTTTTTCTTTAACATTTTACATCAAGTAGAGATTACTTTAAAAAAACCTTTCGACATAAAATCAGAAATGAGAATACAGACAATTTTCTTCAGCCAATTTTAGTAGATAAACAAGCAACATTTGGATAGTTTCTTTGACAATGTATGTTGAATCAGTGATGGTAAAAATTTCGCAAATAAACAAAATAATACTGCAAAAATTCGATCAGAACAGGACTGTATTATAAAATAATATATGTCAATGATCATTCATGTCTCAGTACAACTTTATTAAAAGCGAGGGTGGGTGTGAGTGTGGGTGTGGCTATCGTTGCTCTTCACCCATACCCACACCGTAACAACTTTATCGACATTAAGTAATTCTTTTCCGTCTTTAGTCCAATACAATGACGGACTTGGATCAGCGATAATATCAATCTGAACCGTAGCTGTTTTAGCATCTTGTTTAACCCTTCGTGGCTGTCCTCATTTTTGTGATCCATAGCTGTCGTGGGGTCCACTTGGACCCACCTGCAGAAAAATGCAATAAACTAATTTTTCCTTATTTCTACGCGTTCCATTAGACTTATATGGAGATATAGACATCATTATGTATAAAGACTCATGAGTTACTTCTCTTGGAATTAATGCAAATATATAAAAAAAGAGATAAACTTTTAAACAAATTACAAGCAGTAAATGTAGTTTTGATTGTAAGATATGATATAAACTAAACTTAAACTTTTGAAGAATACTATAAACCATCAATGTAATAGTAAACTTAGTAACGAACCAAAAAATTAATTTAAAAATAACTATAAACCAACAAATGGCAGCTTTAGCACGGAAAACGGTATGTTGAAAAGAGTAAAGTTGTCCTGGGGTCCACAAGGACCCATAGCGCCGTTTTTTATCTATTAGACCTATGTGCGATTTGAAATAAGGATGATATAGACCGACATAGGACTAGTGACGATCCAAAAGGATAGGTCAAACACAGAAGACTTTGATGTACTTTTGAACGAAAATATGTGAAATGGGTCCGCGTGGACCCCACGACAGCCACGAAGGGTTAATTGAGGGTTTATTGAGAAAGGATGGTGTAATACCTTCAGGTAATCTAATCAAAAATAAAATAAAATATAGTATTTGAATTTCTGTTTTCTACAAACTTGAAATCAATTGCTTCAATATTTAATTGAATATTAGTCGTAACTTTATATGCATCAGAGTCTTTTGCAGTTAACTGAGCAATTTCAAGAAAAATTGTATGTATATTTCCTTCAGATAAAATTTCTTGTTTATATCTTGCTCCCATAGTAATAGGTTTTCCATCAAGTGTCCATATAAAACTTGGTACAAATTCAATTGTACATCGACATTCCAAAAGTACTCATTCGTCAATTATAAAAAAAATTACCTTTTTTGTCTACTATGTTCTATCAAGATTTAATAGAATATGTACATTACTTTCACCTAATTTATTTTTTGCTGAAATTTTATATTTTCCAGCATCCGATGCATTAATATCCTCAATTCCAAGACAAGCAACATAAGTATTATTTGGCAATGGATCACAATAGATTAAATAACGACCTGAATATTGTATGGCAACATCATCATGTGATCAAAATAAATCAGGTTTAGGATCGGCAGCTATTTTACATTTAAATATTAAACGTTTGCCATCATTTTCTTTTTATATAATTGATTTTTGAGTAAAAGTTGGTGCACTACTTTCTTTCCAACTAGAATTAAAAAATTAAATTTTTCGAAAGCAAAAAATAAAAAGTTTTTTTGTTAGTTCTCACGTGTCAGCTGGTGCAGCAGCATCATCTTCATTTGAAAAATTCAAACTAACATTAGCTGTTCTTTCTTCAGCTTTATTTCTAACAACAATTTTATGTGTTTCGGTAATTTCCAGTGTAACATCATAATTATTTTCAGTTGCAAGTTTCATTGTTTGTTTGTTTGTTTATGTTTTGTTGATTTAGTTGTAAGTTTAGCCTCATTTTGAAACCAAGTCACATCAGGCTTGAATGCTCCTTGTACTTGACATTCAGGATAGAGACGGGTAGAATCATCGGGTGATTGTCGAATAGCTTGGGGCTGAGTAAATTTAGGTGCACTGGCTGCGATTTGTTTTTCGTCAATCGATCGATTTATTAACTATTTATCTATCTTAAAAAATAAAAGAAAAAAGAAGAAGAAAAAATGCAATTCATTCCATTTGCAGTTATGTCTATATATAGAAGAATGCCAAAAAAATAATCATGAAAAAGATTATAGAGGGTCGACGACAAGCCGAGACTCGAGAGAAAAAAAAGAAAAAGAAATGAAGAAAAAATATAGTTTGTTAGTAAATCCAATGTCAAGAAGCCAAATTATGATAAAAGTTGTTTTTTTCCTCCTTAGTTCTTCTGTACATAATATCTGTTGCATTCTGACTCATGGCTTGTTTTTCTCTTCAATCACTTTTCTAGACAAAACAACAGAATAACATTGTCTAGTGGTAGTTAATTGTAAGGCAGCGGTAAACAACTAAAATATATGCATGTTACGATCGGTATGATAGTAAAAAAAAGATCAAAGAAAAGAAATGAAAGATTCTCCTTCAATGAAAAGAACAACTATAAAAAGACAATTGACAAGATAATAACAACTACGAGAAAGGTCCAACGCAGCATCACCGTCATTGTTGAGGGTGGATGTAGGTGTGAGTGAGTACGGGATAGAGTAGTCACATCCACAAAATGAAGAAAGAAAAGAATCTGAACATTGGAACTATTGATTTCAGTTATTTCATCGATTTGAAATAAAATAAATTTATTTATTTTATTCAAATGAAAAAAAAAATCTTTTCAAATCGAAATATATCTCATTGAGAATATTGTATTTTTCTTTTCTGTGACACGTCAGTTACGCCCATGACGCTTGCGCGCAAAAAAATTTCTTTTCATTCTGTTCTAATCTGATTGATTTACTCATACATATTGTTGGAAATATCCAATATATCTAGTGATATACATATTGGTACATTCCCTCTGATCATGTTGGAACATTCTTTGTATTCTTCTATCATATATACATATGGTTCTTTCCTTTCCTCTCATCTACGTATGGGATCATTCCCTATCGTGATCCTATATATATGTACACGAACACATACGTACATGTATTATATATCTCCCGTCCTCTTTTCTCTTCTTCTTGTTCTTGTGGTTTTAACAATAAAGATTGAACCTCCGGTTCTACCCAAAGGGGATGGTCGAAAAATTATTAGTTTTAATGCACGCTAGAAATATCATAATACGAAAGTCCTTGTCACCTAGATGACGAATCTGATATCCGTTTGTCTCGATCTGATTCCTTTTGTGTCGGTTTTCACTCAGGGAGGGGGGGGGGTACATGGGTCTCAGCAGAGTAGTTCCATGGGATGTCAAACACAAATACACAAAGTACTCAGAAAATTTTCTTTCCCCTCAGATTTTGTAGAGCTTTCTTCGCTGATCATTTTCGTATAAGGAAGTTTGGAATTCTATTGAAAATGACGACGCTATCGTCAAAATAAAAAAACATAGTAAAATACGGTAAAATAGTTTAAATCCCATTTTTTCTTATAAAATATTGGAAATTACTGGAAAAAAAGGATCAGATCTAGACAAACGGATGTCAGATTCGTAATCTGGGTGACAAGGACTTTCGTATTATGACATTTCTAGCGTGCATTAAAAATGACGACTTTCGACCACCCCCTTTACACGTATTAACAGAAATAAAAATGTTCTGTTAGTGAGATTGGTTTATTAAGAAAATACATAGAAGATATTAATGAGAATCAAAAGATTATCTAGTTTTAACATCAAACTTGCTTTTTACATCAAAATGAGATTAAAACTAAACAAAAATTATAAATCAGATAAAAGTATAAAGGGAAAGTATATATATATATGTACGTATTATTTTAATAATTTCTACGATATAAATATATCTCTTATAAAATCAGTCAAAGGCAAAGACCAACGCATAAAATATGAAAAAAATGATCTTCGAATACGAAACATGGCCAAAGAATTTCATACTGTTTTTAGGAACGACTATTTTAAAACAGCTAGATCAGTCTTTAATTTCTAAACGACTACATTCTTTACTCTCAATTATTATTCACTTAGCGTATTTGTTTATTTATTGTAAATAAATACTATATATCTCTGTTAATAATTTATATTAATATATTTTTTGAAATTGAGAACTATTTTTTTATCAGCAGCTAAGCATAAATTTCTGCTCGTTCATAATTCAAACGAAATTTAAGAAAAATATATTTTATCATCTGTTTCTCAATCCGCGCGCAAGTGTCTATACGCGCAGCCGTCGTGCGTGTAAATGTCATGCGCGTAAATGTCGGCGCGTAACTGTCGGTCAATCCAGTGCTACAGCTATTTCATCAAATAGAAGTTATAACACATAAAATTAAATGATTAGGATGATTTTTAATTAAGTATAGTGAATACTGGTCATGAGAGAAACTATTATTAATAGAATGATTAGATCGTACATAATTGATTTGTAAAAGAAGTGCTTGTTGCGACACATTTTAAAAATCTGATTGAAATATAGTTGGCTATATATCTATTCTTGTGACTGAAAGACAATAAGATTGTAGAATCTATCCATTTCTGAATATATATTATCGAATAAAAACCAATCTAAAAAAAATATATTCGAACAAGCATTAATTCAATTAAATTTGTGTTTACAATATATGTATAAAATAAAATTATCATTAAATATTTCGCTGATAGACTAGAATATATGAGACATTTTATTTTAGTATATATAAATTCTTCAATGAGTTAATTTTATTATAAAATTATTAAAATATTTTAATTATTGTTCTTTTTTAATCTGATTATTTTGAATAATACATGTTAATTTTTCATTTAATTCATCTAATTTATCTATAAACATAATTTCACTTGCTGTATTATTAAAAACAAATTTCATTTTAATTGGAACAATATCAAGAACACCTGCACTAGCAAAAAGCGCAAGAATTGCTTCTACAAAATGATGTAAACCAATAGTTGAAAAAATCAATATTGATAGAAGTTGATCAGATGTACTATCAATGAAATTATCAAGTTGATTAATTAATTCATTTAAATATTTAGGGTGGGTGCATTTTTCTCATTCATTACCCACACCCACACCCTTGGAATAGAACAAGTCCATGGTAAAACTGTTGATCATTGGTATTCTCATGAACATGAATATTGGAGTGAAGTTAATGAACCATTTAATGGTGTTCGTTATTCAGGACCAAATTTTAAAACACCACGTCAATTCACGGACTATGATGTTTGGCAAATTGAACCGCAAAATCCAAGTCTTTTTGATTTACCAAAGAATGTTGATTGTACTCAACCTTGCCCATAAAATGAAAATTCTATTGAAAAGTATAATATTTTATCGATATTCTGAATAAATGAAAATAATATTACAATTATTAGATATTTTTTTCTACTATCATTAAAATCTTTGTAAACAATTATAGTTTGAGTTTTGAAAAAATGTGTTACTTAGTTTAAGTGATAGTTTTTTAAATTCTGATAAAATAATTCATCCAGAATAGTTACTTTCGGTATTGATCAACAAAAACAAAGAAGAAGAAGAAGAATAGAAATATTTCGAATATTCGAAGTAACTCTTCGAGTTTCACATGTATGGACATTATGCTACTAATTAAACTTTTGTAGATTATATGGCATTGCCAAATTATTTTTGGGGGTAGGTTTGGATGAATGAGAGTGTAATTTATTCTTTTCTTACCCACACCAACATATAAGATTAAAAGTTCAATACTCTAGATCGAATACAAGTATGAAAAAATATGAGTTACAAATTATTATTAGTTATGATGAGACACTCTTTAAGCAGTACACAACACAAAACTTTTACAACATTATTTTGGTTTCTATCGACATGAGTAATTTTATTATTGTACAAAGCATTTGTTTCAAAGACTTCTGCGTTAATCTGGTTTTCAAATAAATATTCGGTTGAACAAAGCAAGCTTGGATGAAGAATTAATCATTCTAAAATAATAATATAATATATTAGAACGAGAAAGAATTCTAATAAAGATCCTACCTGACAACATTTATTTTACAATAAGCACAAAAGAACTTCAATTTGATTCAATTTCGAATTTTTGTAATCGATGATTGTATGAATCAAAGACATAAAGATTACCGTGTTTATCAAATAATAAATCACTAGGATAAAACAGTTGATTTGCTTGATTTCCTCGTCCATTCCCGCCAACAACAACAGTACCTTCTTTATCTCCATTGATCCAACGCATTATTCGATGATTCAGTGTATCGGCTACATAAACATTACCTAAATGATCGACAATTACGCCTCCAGGTTCAGACAGTTGTGTTAGGTTAGCTCCAGCACCGTTTCCACCAGCAACAATAATCCCGGTTGTTGCGTTTTTCATCCATTTCATCACACGATGATTATGTTTATCCACCCCATATACTGAATAATCTATGTCGACAAAGAGAAGTATTAGACTCATGAATTGTTCAGAATGATTTCCTGCTTTGTTTCCACGTGCAACGATAGTGCTTTTATTACTAACTCCAATTTCCCATCGTCTGACTTCCTTTTCTTTCCAATCACTAACATAGAGATATCCTTTGTCATCTATTGCTAGACTATTACAATGAATATTCGGAAAGATTATGGGTACACTAGTTGCATTTTGACGAGACCATCGGGCAATCCCTATCAAAAGCTGACAAATAATAATTGAATCAGTCTTTTTGTCAGCAATAACATCTACTGGACCCGATAACTGATGTGTGCCATTTCCATCAATAACAATTGGACAGTTCGTTCGATTTAATTGCAATCCTATAATGCGATCGTTTCTATGTTCAACAATATAAATAATTTCATTATCATCGTCAATATCCATAGAGCTAAACTCAAAATCAGATTCATCAATATAGGATTGATGAAAAATAGTTATTCCATTTTGTATCCATGTTGTTTTATCAGTAATAATGTTATGTAATGGAGCTATAATGAAGCAAAAATAAATTGTCATTATATAAAATAATCATTGTGTTAATATGATACAACTAATGTTTCTCTTATCGCTCATTCATTAAAATATACCTTTGGTTGTGGTTGTTGTTGTTGATATTGTTGCTGTGATCGTTGTTGTTGCTATTATGTTATTAGTTTTCATCTTTTTCTTGTGTACGAGAACCGTTGGAACAGTAATAATTATCGTAATTAAAATGATACAGACTAAAACCAAGATACATCTGCCATAACGAATATGTTCACATCTAAAATGAATCAATATATTTCATCATTGATTGAAAGATCAAGTTTACATACGAGATATTCCATTGAGTGGCTGTATTTTTATTTATATTTTGAACAGGAGCTGGTGAGTGAATCTAAAAAAAGAATGTTTGTTATTGAATTACTCAAACATATCTTTTTCATACTTCATTAGCAATTTCAATTTTTGATATATCATCCAACTTGGCCATTTTTCGAATGCTTTGATAACTAAAAAATAATAGTAGATTGATAAGTGTAGAAGAAAAGATTTATGAGAAATCGTCATAGAAAGAAAATTATTTTATTCAAAATTAGATGTCTCATGAAATATGTCATTACCAAGGAAAAAAAGTGTTTTTGTTATTTTTCTATGAACTGTGCAAATGAATATGTTTCCATCTGTCATTTTTTTTCAAATTATAATTCGGCTTCTTCTACATATTAATAAATAGAACTAGATTCTTGAATAAAAATAGCAGATGGCAATATTTTGTATGTTCTTGTTTTGCAACGGAAATTTCCATTAAAGAATAAAAAAAAACGCTGCTCATTATCTGAGATTTATTTTTCCTGATTTTTGTGCTACCTTCATATAATAAATGATATTGAGAGAACCAATTTAGTTTGATGAATCATCTCTACTGAGTGCATAATAATTATGACTTTTTATATTTTGATTTTAAAAAGGTTTACGAATGCCGGAATGATATTCAAGTCGTTATGGTAAACTAATAAATATAAAGTATTTATAATATACACCGAGTGAAAGTTTTGAGTTATCTGCACAAAGTCAGGAGTAAAAGCATCTTGAATTTAGGGTACCAATGCAAAAAGGGATTTTATCAACACGATGTTGAACTTTTATTATAAATTTGAAAAACCTCAAATAAAACAGTTGTTAGATATACAAAGAATGTAATGATAATCTTGGAAATGATGATATGATTATAAAGATCTGCTTATGATAAAAAATAGCATTTCAATACCGAAATTTCTATATGCGTTTGAAATGAAAAGCAAAAAAATATAAATTGTCATAAACGAATTCATTGACAAAAAAAGCAGCACTGTGATATTTTGTGAGTGAGTATGAGAGGGCTGGGGTGTGGATGTTGATAAGAACATGGGTGTGGGTAAGAGCATAGATGTGCGTGTTTTGTTAATCTGTCATCGAGCCACATCTGCACTCACGCCCATCTTTCAAGATGATTTATGCCTTTTCCGAACTTCTCTTTTCTGAATTCATTTTTTTCGGGAGTTTTTGACATAATCCGCTTAACATATATTATGCTAACTCAAATCAGTTAGTTACATAAATCTGATTTTTGCTACTAACATTTATGTCATATTTTAATCTTGTAGAAATTGTACTAACACCTTTTTTTTATTGATAATAGTCACAATACAAAACAATACTGTAAGAAGAAAGAAAAATAAGCATTGAACAAAAAAATAACTGCACACAACATCTTTCAAGTTTTCATAGAATGTTTATTGACTAAAAACATATTATGATGATATTATATTTAAGTTTATTATTTCGATACTTTTATTGTATGAGACCGAACCAACGTAAAATATTAGTTGTATATTGTTTAACCGTATTGTGAAATGTGTTTCTATAAACTGTTGAAGGTAGAATATATATTAGAAAGATTAACATTGGTGGAATAAATGAAATAAAATATCCAAGAAGAAATAACCATGCATCACTTGGCGATTTCATACAGTTTGATATAAATGTAAGAATTATACGTGGTACACCAAGAATAACTAAAACAATTGGAGCAGTTAACAAATTTTTATGTTCTTTAATTGTTTTATATAAAGTTTGTTTATATGTTTGTTTCTTATGAAGATTTGCTTGTTGACGAGTTTTCACTACTATAAGAACTATAGTTGATATTAAATTAATTATAAATGGGCTAATAAAATGAAATGTATGAATAAATGAATTATAAGTTTTTAAACTAAGTGAATCTTTCATAATACACCATATTCTATTTTGACGACTATCATCCTGATTGACTTCATCAATGATATATCGATGAATAGGATCATGTACATAATTAACAGCAACAGTAATAAAGAGAATAGCCATCATTAATTTTGCTGTTTTTTTACTTTTATTCTTATCAAAACTTACACCTTTTATTACAGCAGTTGTTCGTTCTATAGCTATACATGCATTCAGCCATTGATCTATAGAAACAAACATTCGTAAAATATAATCAAATGAATAACATTGACCAGATAAAAATGACCGATTTGATATAATTGACATATGAGAAAGAAGAAGAATGAAAAACTTTAATCCAAACATGATTGTTATAAATAAAGTTGTGATTGATGAAGTGAGTAAATATAAACCACAACCAACTTGCCATAGAGTTTTATTCATAAATGTAATTAGAGAAAGAATACCATTGATAAGTCCTGTGATAATAAAAATAATAGTTAATGCTAAACTTATTTTTATAATCAATGGCTGATAATTGATGCTAACATGTGGAGAAATTTGATAACCTAAGATTACATCAAGTGATAAGCCATATCCATCTGTAGTCAGATGACATCGTTGTCCAAAATAGCATAAATCACACATACAAATTGATCTTGTTGGACATTCTTGTTCGTCTTCAAAACATTGACCATGATCACATTCACTTTGACCTTGACAATCGAATTTCATATTATGATCAAAACTAAAGCAATTAGCCAAACGTTTTTGACCGAATTGATAACATAAGCAAAACTGATCTGTATCATAAAAACAAGAAAGATTCAAGGATTGATTTTGGCATGGTATATGATAATATTTAATACGATGGATAAGATGCCATTGAGGAAATGTTCCATTAAAGTTTTCTTTAAATATTTCATTTATATGTGGGCAGTGATCTGATGGATTAATTATTTTCTTAGTTACTTTTGATTGAGTATAAGTTTTTTGATACATAACTAAATAGTATTTTTTATCAAGTTTTGTCTTATTAAGTTCAATAAAAACAATATGAAATTGATTTGGCCAAGTGATGCTGATTAAATCTTCTTTAATTGGAATTTTTCGAAAAGTTGTTGATCGTTTATGTGTAGCGTTTCCACTGGCTTCAATAAAATGAAAAAATATTTCTTGTGGCAGAATAATATCTTTGTTAAATGATAAATTAAGTTCATTATCAGTTATATTACATCGATCTCCGCTATAGCCTGTTGGACAGACACATACAAATTCTTTGTTGAAGATTATATGACGATTGATTGCAGTACATTCACCACCATTTTTACATATGTTTTGATTATTAATTTGACATATTGTATCGGTGAGAAGACATCGAGGACCAAATTTATTTAGCGGACAGACACATATTGATCGATTATTAGCTGTAATTCCAATACATAATGAGCCAAATGAACACGTACAGGTATGTTGTATGGTACAATATCGTCCAGACCATCTTTCATGACATCGACAAAAAGATTTCTCTGGAATATTTGCATATTTGACACATTCCCCATGAATACATGATTGTTTTGCACAAATTTGATTTTCAGTATTAATAGTTCGAGGAATATTAACAATGAATGCGAGACGATGAACAGGTAAAAATGGGAAAAGAATTGGTAATAATAAACTTCCTCGATGAGCTAATGTTTTTATTTCATAAATATCAATGTGTATTGAATAATTTTTAGTTAAATTTTTTGATCGAGTAGAATAAAGAAGATAAATTTGAAATTTTGTGTAACAATTCTTCCATGATAAGTACGTGATTTGCTCATATGAATGAATGACTCGGTCATCATCATCATCAATAAGTGAAATAATGATTGCAAATTGTGTTCGCCAAGAGTCGGATGGAGCTCGAAATTTAATAGCAAGACTGATACGTTGATTTTGATATTGACAATCATCACCATAATAACTAGGTGGACAAAAACATACTGGATTTGTTATTAAGCCACTTTTATTATTCGACCAAACACGTAAACTAAGACCACGATGACAACGAAATTGAAGTCGAAGAGATATTTTAGAAGATATTTTCATAGGAGATAAACTTGAAGATACTACATTTTCATTGATCTTCTCCACTGGACTAATGGTATTATCAAGTTTTAAATGTATAATTCGGTTTTTCTTCTTTTGAGATACGAATGCGCATAAGAACTTCTCAACTTGTGTACCAGATCCTATGTTTCCCGACACACAAATTCGATAACCATTGGAGTTTGCTATATTTGTTTCACAAAACATTTCATCGTCTTTATGGTCACACATAGGTTCACCATCACATAACATAAAGGGCAACATGACTGGGCTATTAGTTTGATTCATACATAAAAAATTGTTCGTATACGATAGTAAAAAATTGAAGGACCCGAAAGAAATATGTCGTGTTGGTTCATCAGTACCGCCGATACAGTCGATGTTGCCGTCGTTCACTTTGCTGATATGTAGACAAGTAAATCGATATGTTGATGGTGAAACACATAAGTGATTATTCAACGAACACATTGATCTTGATAATTCATCGCAACCAATTTCATC